GCGCCCTTTTCCCTTTGTAATAAGTGCCCTCTTTTCTTCTGATAAATGCCCATTTTGTTTTTCTTTTTTTATAAGAGCCCCTCCCCATTTGCCTATTTTTTTTCTTTAATTCTCTCAAAGCTCACTCGCTACGCTTCTTAGCATTTATAGTTAATGTACTCATGATTTCTTACTAAATTGTTTGTCATTCTTTCATGATTGGATTGTACTCAAAAACCCATCAGGATCAGCTTTTTTCTCTCGCATATGAACATTCAGATGATCACACCCAACTGCAAAGTATGATGTTTAAAGATAAAGTCGAGTTCTGGTCATGCGATTGCATTGTGAAAGAAACGGTGTGGAATCGATTATAAAAGGCTGAGCATCTATACTGTATACCATATAAGTATTGGTGTGTACTGCAAGGTTCTGGAATGATCAAAATGATAAGAAACTTGGCCTCGTACACTGTACACAGAAAGATGCATATGGGACTACCAGTGGCGGATCCAGAGGGGGGGGGGGGGGGGGGGGGGAGAAAAGCAATAAAAAAGAAAACACCAAAAAAAAATGTTCCTCCCCCCCCCCCCCCTAAGGTGGACGGCTGGATGCTAATCTGACGGTAATTTAATGCTTAAAACCCCTAAGCTACTGGGGTCTCGGCAACCTGGACCTCACGCCAATTAGTGTCCTGCCAGTGTCACAAATAAGGTATCAAAATATGTTCATCTGACCGTTATTAAATGCCTAAATGCCTAAATGCCTAAATGCCTAATTGCTTAAGTTTCCCGGGCTCCGCCCCCTCGACCCCACCAGGTGCACCAAGGCGAGCCTCTGCAGGCTTGTCTATCCGTTAGAAAATGCCTAAAACCTCTGAGCAGTTAAAGGAATTAACATATTGCCCTTCTACATTTATTTTTCACCATTAAAATTAATTAATCTCTCGACTATGAAAAATTGTCATGACATAGAGAGTAAAACAACGTTTCATTTAATATAAAAAGCATTGCTGTAGGCCAAATAATATCACCCTGCAAGTACAATACAGAGGCCCTACTTCGACATATTTACGACTCCTTCTGCTCGCCAAAGAAGCTGCCATTTCGTCGAAATTTCCCTTCAAAATCTCAGGATTATATGCAATAGGCGCCAAACGTGGTGTACCATATATGGTGTATATATATATATATATATATATATATATATATATATTTGTAATCATACAGAAGATCTGATTCGAGAGACTAGGTAGCTCGGTGGCGCTAAAGAGGGGAATGCTTGACGTTTAATCAACAATTTTAAAAAGTGGGATAGTATACAAATAAAGAATGTTTATGAGTTCAATAGTGCGAATATTTTCATGAGTTGAAAGATTAACATTCTATTCAACGAGGCGTCAGCCAAGTTAAATAGAATTAACGTTAATCTTTCAACGAATGAAAATATTTGCACTATTGAACGAATGAAAAACATTCATTATTTGTTTTATACAACATCAAAGAAGATCTAATGGAACGTTAATCAACAAATTATGCTTTACTCCTTATATTTATTAAAGTTGGAGTCAAGCCTCCTCGAGTACATACATTCAGATTGCCTTCGCGTCAGATACACACAGGGATACGCGCACGGCAGAGAGGTACGCAGTCTGCATATAACCAAAAATGCACGCCCGTGCAATATAACATCTATTGAATATCATGTGACCAACAATCCTCCAATCAAATGACAAGGATCCACGTAGGTGTTGTATAATTCAAAGTATACTATAATGTCCTGCTTTATGTTAGGGGCTTGCGTGGGGTTATCATCCCTACATTGTGTTGCTATCATTCTTGTGCTTTTCAGGATTTTTTTTTCTTTTTTTTTCTTCAAAAAAGTAACAGAGTGGCGGAGGAGATGATGGACATACGAAAGCCTGAATAAATGATGGCAGCCGATTATTAAATGCGCATTACTATTAAACATAAGACACATTATTTATCATTTACCCTATAAATTGACACCGAAACTTCATGATATTAATTCCAACCAGCTCTAACAATAAATGACTAAAAAATAATGAGTAACGAGCACATTAACCCCCCCCCCCCCCCCCCCTCCCATAATCTTCAATCTTGCACTTAGCCAATAACAAAGGCCAAGATAAATCTTTATCTCACACACTGGGCAAGTATCAGAATCATAGTAACGTAGAGCAGCAGAAGTGAGAGCAAGACGCCCTCACACACAGCCTGGTGGAAATCATCGAAATCGATGGATAGCGCCAACAAACCCAACAACAACAGCAACCTACACCTCATTTCACAAAGGAAGCACTTTTTATGATACTAGAAAACATATAATTAATTTATTATATTGATGTAGATGAAGGCGACTAGCATGTAGTGTGAACAAGAGACGACACTCCCTCTAAAAGGGTGTTTTGGAAAAACATGAACATGAACAATACATTCTATTCATTTCGGGTTTTTACGAGAGTGAGGTTAGTTTGGAAGCAAATATCAACTCCCCCCCCCCCCCCCCAATACAATCGAAATGACGTACTTTGAGGACTTCTAAAGTGTTCGACCTTCTAAAGTGTTCGACCTTCTAAAGTGTTCGACTGTATCGTTTTTATTGTGAGGCTGGGTTACATGTTATGCTCTTGGCCTACAATAAAAACACACTTCTTTTTTCGAAAGAATTGTATAGAACGAATCAAATTAAAAAACACATCTCTTTTGCTATTATTTTTGGAAACCTCCATTTTATATACATTTTCCAATATAATGGGTGTTTGTGGGGGGAGGGGAGAGAGGGGAGAAATGGTTCATCGTAGAGACATGAAAACGAGCAGAAGTTTGAAATAAATTAAATGTGGCTCATCTTTTTGACTCTGTCAATTTTATCTTAAACATATTTGACAAATTATGAATGGTGTTTGATCCGTGTGTTAACAAAATAGATTTAGATAAGATGTTATTTGCCACATCGTTTGGATGCAATAATGCCACCATTTGTTGGCGAATTCAGATCAGTCTCATCCCTCACTCAAAATTAATGTTCTGAAGTAGCGAAGAAGATTGTGTGTTTGTGTGTGTGCGCGTGCGTGTGTGTGTGTGTGTTTGCGTAAAAAGTAGTGTGCGTGTGTGTTGTAATAAGATATATATACGATATTGATATATATATATGTATATATATATATATATATATATATATATATGAATAGATATATATATATATATATATATATATATAACCCTACATTGTACATTAAGTGGACATCATAAAAATCCTAACCCTAACCCTAACCCTAAAACCTAACCCTAAACCTAACCCTAACCCTAACCCTAACCCTAATGTCTACTTAATGACTCATTTTTTCACTCCAAATGTCCTTCCAATGACGCCTTTAGTAAAATTACATATATAGAGAGAGATATATAACAAAATTGGGCCTTCCACGAGAAATAAAACGTAAAAAACGTTAAGAGGACACCAAATTGTCCTCCTAATCACAATGTCTACTTAATGACTCATTTTTCACTCCAAATGTCCCTCTAATGACGCCTTTAGTAAAATATATATATATATATATATATATATATATATATATATATATATATATATATATATATATAATATGCCTGTATGGATGAGGGTGTTCGGAAAACGATGAATTCAGTGGCCTTGATTGGATGCTACAGACTATGGCTACGAAATTTGAAAGGAATCGGGGGACGTGAATGAGCTTGATAATGGGAGTTTGTACAAATTCTTGACGCTTAAAGTTTATAGAGATGTTCTAGTTTAGTTGTCCCCACGCCGGCACATGTGATATTACAGTAATGTAAATAAGGCAAAATTAAACAATTGAACAACATAAACAACACTTTTTTAGGCAGAAATACACGTAATTTACAAAGAACACCGATGTTTTATGATATTTTGTTAGTTATATACAATCGATGATCCTGAAAGGATAAAGTGCCATCCAAAAGGATACCAAGAAATTTAACAGAAGAGCATATACGTTCAAATTTATATTGTTTATGAATATATATACATCATTAATATTGCAAGGACTAGTTTTATTATGAAAATAAAGTACACTTGTTTTGTCATAATGAAGCATTAAACCGTTCAACAACGTTTTTGATTCTTTATTGACTTCTGACATTAATTTATCAAAATCATTATGAAATGCAATCAGGTTTGTGTCGTCAGCAAATAAGACAACATTTTAAAAAAGATGAAGCACAACTAATGTCATTTATGTAAATTAAACATAGGAGAGGACCCAGCATGGAGCCCTGTGGGACTCCATACTGGATCCTCTCTGTGTCAATAAAATTGTTGTATGATGTGAATTGACTACGATCACTTTGAACCATTCCCAAGCAATACCGCGTATACCAAATTATTGTAATTTAGTGAGGAGAATATCGTGGTTAATGACATCGAAAGCTCATGTTTTCGATGTAATCGAATCGTACAATTTCACGAACTGAAGAAAGTAATTAATTTATGATTTTCCAAGTTGCTTTAATATTTTTTCGAACATCCTCAATTTTGTTAACAATAATAATTCCTTTGGTGACATTATTTCTTATTGAAATATGTATTGATTTCCGGTATATGCTTTGAGTTTTGATATCTTTCTGATACATAATATTTTTCTTTTTTTCACATTTTTTAAAGTTCGGAGGTTAACCAAGGCTTATGAATTGATTTATACTTACGTTGGGTATTTACAAATTAATGGAAAACATTTATTATAGTTGTCATTCAAGATACGCATAAAACAATTTCATACCGTACATGTGATAAATTATCTTCAGAAAAATATTAACTATTAAAATTTCTTCGGATTTTTAAAAATAATTTAGTAGCAACTTATGCTTTTTATCAGTTGTGGCTCTAATAGTCTCTTTATTTTTTTGTTAACACAACAGAAATATATTAGAGAAACTGATTTATTTTCAGACAAAATTTCCAGCTTCACATTGTGCATTGCTGCCCTCTAGTGTTCACAACGCACAATATATATTGAGAAATGATTCACAGAGATTGCAAGACTGACAGTCAGAAATCCCATAAATTTCTCATTTGATTGAGGACAATCTTTCGTAAGAATTTTATGTCTATTTTCAAATTTGTTTATCTACATTAGTGGGTAATTTAGACTAGCAATAATGTATATTTTGTGTGAAAATGGTGTTAAACTGTAATGTTTGGAAGCAGTTCTTGGACTTGGTCAATTAATATGGTCCCATGTATTTAATAATTTGGGGTTATTTGTGATTTATGATCAAAATGAGATGCAACATTATTAGGCGTGGACTACAAGGAAATGGATTGGGTGTTTAAGGTTTAAGGGTTAGAAATGCAAGAAATCTACTGCTAAAGAAGACCAATTTATCAGATAATCTGTTTTCTATTTCTTGCGTCATGTTTTATTGTCACTGTTTTCTCTTCTTTTTTTTCTAAGGTGGGCCTCGAAAAATTTTGTACAGCCAATTATGGCCTAGAGTTACAAATAAAAGTCTTAAATTTGAGAAGCGCCATTGCTAGATATGTGATAACAGTGATATATGTGATATCTCTTTTATCTTTCTCTCTCTCTCTCTCTCTCTCTCTCTCTCTTTCTTTCTCTCTCTCTTTCTCTCTTTCTCTTTCTCTCTTTCTCTCTCTCTTTCTCTCTCTCTTTCTCTCTCTCTTTATCTCTCTTTCTTTCTGTTTCTCTCTCTTTCTCTCTCTCTCTCTCTCTCTCTTTCCCTTATCCCCATTCTTCTCTCCGTCTGATGTCTCTGTACTGTTAATCTGTTTTTCTCTTTTTCCCTCTCTGCTCGGGTCTTTTCCATCCCATTATAAACAGGTGGACAGACGGACGGTAGCAATGGCTGAAGGGGGTTCTGAAAGTCCTTGCGATGAAACTGATGGTGAGTAAATGATCTAAGCTGCATCACACACTAAACCATTCGTCTATGATCCAATAATAGGTTGTCTGAATGATTTTTTTTTTCTTCCCCCGTTCACCTGGCACTGTCCAGGCTGATGCTTACCCGTGTCCGTGAGCTAGCGCCGGCATGGTACCGTGGGTAAAAATGTTTCAAGCTCAATCACTGTCAACTCACCACTCAGAAACTGGGACCAAATGTCCGGATTTCTGTTTGGACTCGGAGGAAAAGTAGTCTGTCATCTTTGGTTTTAGAAAGAGCATTGTTTACTCTTATTATTATTATTTAATCGGCACCTTCAACTACAACTTGAAATAAAATCTTCTTCATTTGGTATTATAATGGCTATTAGTCAAATTTGACTATTGTTGCCAATTTCATCACATCTCTTTCTTTTAATTTTTTTTGGTAAAAAAATTAATTTTTCTTTCTTTTTCCAATCTCATTTTAGATATTTAATATAATATTAGTCATAGTCTGCAAAAAACAAAAACAAAAAATTATTTCAAATTAAACCACGATCCGCACACAGTTCCAACTCACGCTGGCCCTGTCCTTTCTATGATGCCTTCTTACCAGCCCAGCGAGTTACGTTACGCCGTACGCTTCTCAATTGATAAACTCAACCTAGGTCACTCTTGTAATGTTATAAGCTGAAGTTATGCAGCACTCCTAATTTGAATATAACTTACACCTGTATGTGCTCATTGTTAAACAGCCATGCACATTCATTCAGAAGCAACCATGCAGAAAGCACTCTTCAATACAGTACTCTTGGCACACAGAGTGTGTGATGTATTTAATGAGTAATTAGCCATGCACACATTCAACCCTCATACACTGCCTTATGTACTGGACATGTGAGAGTGGTAAGTTGCACTTGACCACTAGCATGCACAGCATAAGCATCATGTTTTAGTTACACCAATAAACTCCTGAACCTCAAGCAAAGATATGTGGAGCTTTATTACTTTCTTGACCCAGCTACATTTAGTAAAGTACTAACCAAGAAGTCTACATAACAAACCCACTATTTTTGACATGGTGGCAAGCGGTGAGTGCAAGTCACCAACATGCCAGTTTTTTTGTGCCAGTCTACCAGTACAGTACCATGTGCTACACAGCAGCAGCCATCTTGGATTTTGCAACACAGCAGCAGCCATTTTGGATTTTTCCTTGTTCGGGAGAAACACACAGGAATTTGTAGACACCATTGTTCCATGAACAGTTAGTTGTTTGATGCCTGAGGGTTAGTGGTGACACGTTTCAACATTTTGTTCCTTATTCTGAAGCACAGCATTGAAGTAACATTAACATGGCTGATCATATTCCACGAATGGATTGGGGTGCACCAAACCTTGCTGAAGCTTTTCGTATGTTCAGACAAAGACTGAGCCTATACTTTTTGGCTAAGCACACACCTAAAGAGGATGAAGTACCTATCATTCTACTTGCTGCGGGTGAAGAGGGCCTTCAGCGATACAATTGTTGGACATTATCAGAGTCTGAACAAACAGCAAAGGTCATCCTAGACCGTTTTGAGGAGCAACTAGAACCGCAAGACAATTTTCGAGTATGTCGTCTGAAGTTGTCGAGAACAATGCAGAGGCCAGATGAAAAGTTGGACGATTTCATAAACAGATGTCGACAAATAGCTCGTAAATGCGAATTTGATCACAAGGAGTTGGATGAGCGAATCCTTGAACAGATTATTGCCAGCACACCCATCGCAGATTTCCGGAAAGACCTACTTACTACAAAGAAGGACTTTACACTACAGGGTGCTCTACAGCTGGGAAGGACGTATGAAGCATCAAAGTCACATGTCCAAACCCTCCAGTCTCTGTATCATCCAACACAGAGCATAGATGCAGTGCAACAGCAGAAACAACCTAAGAGTTTATGTAAGAACTGTGGGAGACAACATAGATTCGGCAAGGAGTATTGTCCAGCAGCGAGTGTTACATGTTTCTCGTGCAATAAGCAAGGACATTATGCTCAATTGTGCCTATCAACCAAGCTCAAACCATCACAGAAGTATCATAAATCGTATGCATCTTCCCGGAAGAAGAGGGGAGTGGGTGAACGCGAACGCCCATCACGACGTTCCAAACAGGTGGATAACGTGCGAGAGGAACACACCGAATCTGAAAGTGAACTGGGTACATTACCACAACGATTTGACAGGTTTCATTTTGACACGATTATCATTGACTCTGTGAAGAGGAATGAAGCTATTGCACACTTGGACATCAAATTGGACGACAAACCAGGTGTCCATGACCTGAAAGTAAAGGTGGATACAGGAGCAGAAGCGAATACACTGCCGCTTCGAACTTTCAGAAACATGTATCCAGAGCAGCTTGATCGTCAAGGTTTTCCACGAAATCTACCAGATGCAGGCACAATCCTTTCAGCTTACAATGAAACGCTGATTGGTCAGTATGGAACAGTTGTTATTCCCTGCAAGTATGGAGACACAGCATGGACTGATACCTTATTCTACGTGGTTCAGTCCAACGGCCCAGTGATACTTGGTCTCCAGTCATCTGTAGAGTTTGGACTTGTTACTCTCCATTGCTCTTTGAACATTGAAACGCAAGTCAGTGGTGTCCAGGCTCTAGTACAACTCTTTCCACAGCAGTTCGATAGGATTGGAGAATTTCGTACCACACATCACTTGACAGTTGACCCCAACGTTCCAAGTCATGTCGACGCTCCTAGAAAGATGCCTATTGCCTTGAAAGACAAAGTCAAGGCAGAACTGGACAGTATGGAGAGCCAGGGTGTGATCAAGCAAATCATTGAACCAACCGAATGGGTGAACTCAATCACATATGTCACCAAGAAGGATGGAAGCATTCGCATTTGCTTAGACCCTCGCAGATTGAACAAGGCACTTATCAGACCTCACTACAAACAGCAGACCTTGGAGGAGTTGAATCACAAGTTTCACAACATGCAGCACTTCTCCAAGTTAGATGCAAAGTGCGGCTACTGGTCAGTCAAGTTAGATGAGGCCAGCCAAAGACTTACCACATTCCAGACACCTTTTGGAAGATATGTCTTCTGTCGCCTACCATTTGGACTCAGTGTAAGTCAGGACATTTTCCAGTTGGAGATGGACAGAGTTCTAGAAGGCTGTAAAGGGGCAGAATGCATAGCAGATGATATCGTAATCTTTGGGCGTACAGTAGAAGAGCATGACTGCAACCTTCTCAACTTCATGCAAGTAGCAGCAAAGAGAGGCCTCACACTGAACTCAAACAAGTGCCATATCAGGCAAACGAGTATCAACTTCTTTGGTAATCGATACTCAAAGGATGGTATCCAGCCAGATCCCCAGAAGGTAGCTGACCTCGCAGGAATGCCGACTCCCAGCACCAAGGCAGAGTTGCAGCACTTCCTAGGTTTCATTACTTACCTATCTCACTTCATCCCAGATTTCAGCACAAAGACTGCAGTTCTGAGAGATCTCCTTAAGAAAGAGGCTGATTTCATCTGGGAACCACATCATCAAGCAGCCATGGAGAAACTCAAGCAAGAAGTTTCAGAGAAATCACTACTCCAGTTCTTCGACACAACATCCCCAGTGTATTTGCAGTGCGATGCAAGTCTTCAAGGGTTAGGAGTTGCACTCCTACAGCATGACCAGGAAGGTAGACTCCGCCCAGTAGCTTACGCAAGCAAAGCCCTATCTTCAACTGAAACGCGCTATTCGTGTATTGAACGAGAGCTGCTTGCTATTGTGTTCGGAGTAGAACGCTTTCACACATATCTCTATGGCAGGCTATTCCATGTAATCACAGACCATAAGCCACTTCTGATGATTATGGACAAACCTCTCACAGCAGCCCCTCCAAGGCTACAAAGGATGTTGATTCGACTACAGGGATACAACTTCCAGATCACACACCGTCCAGGACTAGACAACCTGCTCGCAGACAGTCTCTCACGATTACCAAGCACTCACAACAATGAAACAGTTGAACTTGATCTGAGAGTAGATCTGGTGCAGTTCTCGTCAAGGAAAGTAGATGAACTGAAACACACTACAAGCCAAGACAAAGTCCTAAGTGCACTGATGGAAGTTATTGTGACGGGCTGGCCTGATACGGTGAAGCAAGTGCAACCAGAGTTGAGAAAGTTCTGGAGTTACCGAGATGAGTTAACAGTAAGCGACGGTATAATTCTCAAGGGAAACAGAGTGGTCATTCCCAAGCAGATGCAACCAGACATCTTGGAAAAGCTCCATACCAGTCACCTAGGCCAACAAAAAACCAAGTTGCTGGCCAGAGGAAAGGTGTTCTGGAGTAACATGAACAAAGACATTGACAGAGTGGTGCAGTCATGTGTGAGATGCCAGGAACATCAACCAGCACAAACGCCAGAGCCACTCCAGCCGCACGACATTCCCACGATGCCCTGGAGCACGGTGGCAACAGACATGTTCGAACTCAAAGGCAAACAATGGTTAATTGTGGTGGACTACTACAGCAAGTACCCAGTGGTTCGCCAGTTACCAGACCAAGCAACAAGCAGTGCTGTAATCACTATGATGCAACAAGTGTTTGCAGAGCATGGCATACCAGCAAAGGTGGTGAGCGACAATGGACCCCAGTATGCCAGTTACCAGTTCAAGTCGTTTGCAGAATCATGGGGTTTTGAACATGCTACATCGTCCCCCAGACGACCACAAGGCAACGGATTTGTAGAGAGACAAATCAGAACCATCAAGGGTATCATGAAGAAGACTTCAGACATTCAGATAGCACTACTTCTTTGGCGTACAACTCCCATATCAGAGAAACTACCAAGTCCAGCTGAAGTTCTCATGAATCGCCAGTTGAGAACTACACTTCCAGCCAAGTTGCAGAGAACACAGCCAGATGCTGATGACATCTACAATCAGCTGCAGGAAAGACAGAATAGTCAAAAATTCTATTTTGACAAACATGCCAGAAGAGCTGACTTGCCAGAGC